CAACTTATGGCTAAAACACATAAACTGACTCTGTTATGACGGGCCACATGTATCACTAAATTGAGTGCCCATTTTGACCACTATAATGGTATTATTATGTTCTGAGTTCTTCATGAGAGTTGTTTCCCTGTGTCTTGAGACTTCTCTGGTTTTGGTGTGGTTTGATTTGAGTGTCTAGATCAGTAGCAATTTGATAAACATTGGAATTAGTTCTGCTGAATCAAGTCTGGACTATTGGTTTGTGTTCCTAGCCTTTTTTCACCATCTTACAGATTGATCTGGTCTGTTTTCTCTTGATAACATTTGTAGAATTTTTCTTATCTTTCTAATGAATCAAACTTCACTCAATTTGGAGATATAGAACTCAAGTTATGTCTTAGAAACCCAGCAAAGGTCAAGGTTATCAAGTTATGTCTTAAAAACCCAGCAAAGGTCAAGGTTATTTTAATGCTGGAAATTTCCTATGTCTTAAATCATAGGTTTATTTGGATAAGGGTATGAATGAATCATGTGTGATGAAGTTCTCTTGATTCTTTAAGATTTATTTGATAAAAATAAGAAATAAGTTTGAAAAGCGTTGAGTTTGTCAATCCCGTTAGGTCCTACAACAAAACCTAACAACTTCCCTTTTGTTACTCCGAATACGCACTTTTTGGGATTGAGTCTTAGATTGTACTGCTTGACTGCAAAGAACTTTTCTTGTAACGCCCCATTTTTCTGTGTCTGAAATAGTAAGTTATCGGTCTGTGAATAGTGCCATCGGTCCGGGAATAAGTATTATTATTTGATAACTTTTATATGTTTAGAGTTTTAACAAAGAAATGGGTATTTAAGGTGTATGTGCTTTGAATTTTGAATAAGGAAAACATGATTTTATATGATAAGAAATTTCTTATGATACATTTATGATAAGAAATTTCTTCTGATAAATTTCATTATGACTTTAAGAAAGTTTTAAAAGAAAAGGAATTTATGAAAAATTTCCTATATTAAGTAATTATGCATAAGTATGAAATTTTCGTGGTCATGATGAGATTGATTTTGTTATTGGTGGAAGCTATGATCATATTGCTTAGGTTTATCAGCCCTTATAGATAGGCGGACGCGCTATTTGTTGATGATGGGCGGTGGTGCTTTCATAGGCCCACGTGGGCTTTCATAGGCCACGATTTTGCATTGCCTCTGTGATGGGAGGTGTGCTTTCATAGGCCACGGTGCTGTGCTTTCATATGGCCACATTGGTGTGAATGGGGGTGCGTGCTTCATAGGCCACGGTGTGCTGTTCACTAGGCCACGAGTTGTGTGATGGGGGGTGGGTGCTTGCCATAGCGCCACGTGGTGCTTTCATACCACGATTGTGTGTATGGGGTGGTGCTTTTCATAGGCCTGACGAACGTATGTGATGGCAGGTGGCGCTAACATAGGCCACCGAATCAAATCTGCCTATGTTCCATTTTGCATGAGTATGAAGCTCTTAAACGTAAATAATAACATTTTTATTGTTGCTATAAAAGAATGAAGGACATAGTGTAATTAAATCGTCTTTTTATTGTGTCTTCAAATAGTTGAATTATTTAAACGAAGTGAGATCATATTATTTAGTAAAACTTTACTTTGAAATTAATGATTATTTATCAAATGAATTTTCAAGATGATATTCCTGGTACAAGGTTTTAAAAATAAATAGTATATGTATTGGTATAATAAATGTGCAAGTAATGAATTTATCGCGTTTAATTCATAGTTTATTTGATATTCTTTGCTATAAATGTAAATGTATCTGCTTATATATTTGAGATTTATTGATATATAAATGACTTTATACCGAATATTTGTGTTTTAAGTAAGTTGCCATCGCAACTTTGGTAAGTATGTGGAATTATGAGGCACCACTGAGTTTTATACCTCAGCGTGCGTCGATTTTTATCACGCCGAGTTGAAAGATGTGTTTATTATTGGTTGCTTACTTGAAGAGTTTAGAGGAATCGTATCAAAGCAGAAGTCCACTAATTTTAGTAGTCGAATTTGAGATTTATGTTACTAAGAATTTATGGCATGTATAAGTATCTACATTTTTGGAGATTAATGTTATTTGAATTAGATTAATGATAAATATTTTGGTGTTATATATTTGGAGATAAGCAATATGATGTATTATATATTATGAAATGAAATATTTATATCTATATATCTATCTCATAAGATCTATTCTTATAATGATGCAAGAATTATTATCTATATAATACTATTGAGGATCTATATATTATATTAAAAAGTGCTTGTTTGTGTTATAATAATTATTTTGGAAGATTGCTGGACGTTTGGAGTTTTCATTGGGAGTATTTTGTATTCACATATTTGCGAGCTCGAGGTTTTTAAAGGGCTATTTTTGTAGGATTTGTCCCAATGATGATCCAGTTTCTATTATATAAAAAAAATAATTATACTCGATGAAACTCGTGAATACCCAAATTACTTCTAATGTGTGTTAAAATTTTAGTTATATGATTTATACTGTTAAAAGTTAAGACGGAGTCTCTCTTGTCATCTATTATGCCATCCGCCGTCTATCTCTATATCTTGTGGTCTTAGACGGTGTTACAGAAATTTTGGTAGTTGGATAGTGTAACTAAGAATCTATGACATGTATTAAATATTACATTGTTGGAGACCTATATTATTTAACTTTATGACTAAAAGCATTTATTGTAAATTGATGTTGGTATATATATTTGAGAGTAAAACTTGGAACTTATTTAATGGTTAGAACATTAGAAGTTAATATTTTACATGAATGTATTGGAATTGATGAATATTTTAAAATGGTTTATTGCAGACTAGAAGTGCTATTGTGTTGTTATTGGAGTTTGATGGGGTTTGGAGTTTGAATTTGGGAGTGCTTTGTATTCATATGTTTGGCAACTTCTATTTTTAGGAAAAACTCTTGCAGTTTTTCTGTAGGACTCTCCCAAAGCATTTTCAAAACAAAATATTATTGCTTGCTAAACTTGTGAATATTAAGTCACTTCTAATTCATAATATGATTGTATGATTTCTATGTAGGTTAGGACGATGCCTCCGGCACCGAATGTGGCATCAATCGTCGGGTCTTTCGGGATCGGGCGGCAGGTATTACATTTTGTGGTATCAGAGCATAGGTTTAGCCGATTCTAGGATATATGATTTGGTATGAGAGTGTATCCGATTTGGAGTAATGATATTAATTCATAATATGATTGTATGATTTCTATGTAGGTTAGGACGGTGCCTCCGGCACCGAATGTGGCATCCACCATCGGGTCTTTTGGGATCGGGCGGCAGGTGTTACATGCTCTTTGATCTTTTTGAAGTGGTAAAGCATCCAACCAAGTCCATCAATGCTGTAGAATTGATTTGGTTGGAGAGCTAGTGGAGGAAATGATTAGTAAGGAGAAGCCCAATGATCCTTTTCACACTTGCTTGGTTGGATCAAAGGAGGATTTGGATCGATGTGATGGAGCTTTGGAGATGCAAAGTTTTTTAGAAGCCAAAACTAAGATTTCCTTGGTCTGAAACACAAAGTTGAACAACTAATTGACCAGGAGGAGGAAAAACCTGAACCTTCATCCTCAACCCTTAAAGAGGAAGACACACCAAAGGTGGAGCTCAAACAACTACCATCAAACCTCAGGTACGCATTTCTTGGCCCTAACTCTACTTACCTTGTTATTAATAATGCACCATTCAGTTAGTTAGAGGAAGAAAAGACTTATAGAGTTAAGAGAACATAGGAATATAATCGGGTATAACATCCATGATTTAAGGGGAATTAGCCTTTCTATTTGCATGCATAGAATCCTCTTTGAGGATAATGTCAAACCCTCCATTGAGCATCAAAGGAAGTTGAACCAATATGAAAGTTGTTAAGAATGAGATACTCAAGCTCCTTGATGTTGGATTACCTATCCCATATCTGATAATGAGTGGGTAAACCCCATTCATATGGTTTCTAAGAAAGGAGGGGTGACTTTAGTAAAAGGGGATAATGATAAAGCCATTACCACTAAAGTAGAGAATGCGATGGCGGATGTGGTTGATTGTAGAAAACTTAATGCTGTCAGCCTTAAGGACCACTTCTCTTTACCATAAATTGACCAAATCTTAGAGAGATTAGATGGCATGCATATTTTTGATATTTGGATGGTTTCTTTGGTTTCTATTAAATATATATACATCCTAATGACCAAGAGAAAACCACCTTTCCTTGTACTTATGGAATGTTTGCATTTCGAAAAATGTCGTTTGGTTTCTAATGCTCCTACCACTTTCCAACGATGCATGACCTTAATTTTTTTTGGATCTTGCTGAGGAAATTAGGGAAGTATTCATGGATGACTTCTCAAAATATGGCAAAACATTTTATGGGTGTTTAACTAATATGTCTAAAGTTTTATAGTGGTGTGATGAGGCAAACTCAATGCTTAATCGGGAGAAATGTCACTTCATGGTCCAAGATTAGATGGTTGAAGAGTGTTTTATTAGTTGCTTCGATTAAAGTTTGGATGGTTTTTCCAATACGTGTCAAGTTGTTGGGAAATTGGTTTCCAAAAAGGCCTTTCTTGATATTGGTTTTGAACGTAGTTGATGTCCTCCACAACATACTCATTAACCGATTGAGTAACATACATACACTTTGAATTAGCATGATTAACACCTCTACACATACCATGGGTTGAGAAAGCCATATTCACTTTTTGTATACTATCAAGCTTCTTTGCCAATGCATCAAACTTAGCTATCAACAAGGTGATTCTGTCAACTTTAAGCATTCCCAGAGTTTTCTTAGTCAAGATTGCTTCTCCTCCATATATCTTTGGCTGTTGTTAGCCATTTGTTCTATCAATCGGGAAGTTTCATCAATGGTTTTCTCAAAGAATGAACCTCCAATTGCTACATGTAAGGCACTTTGCACACTCAGCAAGGATCCTTCAAAGAATTAATGGATCAAAAAGTGTTTATCCCAGCCATGACGAGGGCATTGTCTATGAATGTCTCTGTACCTCTCCTAAACTTCAAAAAGACTATCATCATGCTTTTGTTTGAAAGTAGCAATCTTCGTCTTGAGTTTCTGAGTTTTGCTATGAGTAAAGTACTTCTTTAGGAATGCAGCACAAAGTACATCCCAAGTTCTAAAAGATCCCGCCGGCATCAAATGCAACTAAGCTTTTGCTCTATCATGAACTGAGAAAGTAAACAACCTCAACTTCTTAGCTTCTTCGGAGATCCCTTTGATCCTTACTATATCACAAATCTCATTGAAGGTTGCTATATAGACATTTGGGTCCTTATGAGCCCCAAATTGTTGTTTTGCAATAAATTGATGAATGAGGTCTTCAATTCATAGTTGTTTGCTGCCACTACTAGTTGAACAATCTACAAATGTATCTTTTTAATTGTGGAAATGGCCAAATCCACCAACCTCTAGTTATCTCTTATTGGCGGTACTTCTTCTAAAATAGGGTTTTCTTCTTGTTCCTCCATAAACACCTACTGCTGAATATTTTCCTCTAGAATTTCAATTTGGGGATCAATTGAAAATCATCTTCCTGGAGAAGGGCTTCTCCTTCTCCATTGATATCTTAGATTTATTCTCTTTAAGGTCCTTGCGGTCATCTCAATTTCAGGATATATAGGGAGCAAATCCAAGATTCTAGATCTGGGCATACAATGTTAGTAGATCCACACGAAAAGAAAGTATTTAACAATAGTTATGAGTAAAAGTATAAAAATAAAAGTAAAGTATCTAGATCAACACTATGAATCTAATCACTAATATCAACGTCGAAGCTCCTACCCCCAGCAACGGTGCCAAAAACTTGTTAGCGATTCTGCAAGTGTACGGATCGTACAAGTAGTATAATAAGATATCATCCTTAGGGATAGGGAGGCTAAATATTAGCTTTGAATCGAAGATGTAGAAAATTAAATGGATGAATCTTTCAAATCAAAAATGAATTAAGAGTAAAATAAGTAAGTAAACCACTAAAGTGAAAATTAAACATGTAAGATTAATTTAATCAAATAAAGAAAGAAATAGTGTTGGGATCAACACCATTGAACAACAGTACGAGGCTTAAGTTTCCATTTTCAATCTATTAAGGGATACATCTTGGAGGGAAAGGAATCCATTTATATTCATGCTTTTAGCGTAACACAATGCTCTGAAATTATAAGAACACCGACTTTCATGGTGTGGTGATAATTTTTGCCATTAATTTCTATGGCTCTTCCTAGTTTCTCAAGGGATTAGCTTATTCCTAAGTCTGTTTCTTAGGTTTATATGTGAGTCAGTTCAACAAGGGACTTCACCTTTCAGTTTTTCATCCTTTCATTTATTATCATACAAACATGGAGCAATACATATTCGTAGGCACTAAGTGCACAACACACAAATTAAGAAAAGCATCCTCTTAGATTAAATAAGGAAACATGATAACATAGATGTTGTTCGAATGGGTTTTCACCCAACATTAGCTGAGGGAACTACTCACACTTCATTTTCAAGTTACAAAAAATAAAATTAAAAAGAAAAGCAAGCTCTAGAATCATTCTTGTCCACAACAAAAATAGAGACAAGCTCTAGTTTCTTTTACTAACTATGTGATAAATTCTTTGAGCAAAACCAAAGATGAAAGAGAAGGAAGATTTTTCTTGACTTCCCGCCAACTCTTTCTTATAGGGTTTCTTGATTTGTGCTCCCTCCTTTAAGTTGCTACCCAGCTCTCTTAATGATGTTTGAATCTCATCTCTTTCCTTTTATAGTGTAGGTGATGATGTAAGGGTATTTCAAACATTCTTTGACTGAATCTCTTGCTTTTAGTGCCACAAGGGAGAATACACGTTGGTTCCACGGTCGTGCTTCATGTTGAGCTCTATGCTTTGATAAATACACGTCCTGACAAACGGGTGGACAGGTAGAAAGGGTCCTTCAGTTGGAACCCTAGCTTAAATAGATACCCGGTGCCCGTGTTGTTACTTTGATTCATATGGCCATTTGTCGTGCTGTGTATTTTGCACTGAGTCTTCTTACTTCCAAGAGGAGAATACACAACTGTTTGACTGGTCGTGTATTTTGCCAAGATCTTTCTGACTCTCAAGTGGATAAAGCACGACCAGTGGGCCGGCCGTATGTTTTTCCGTTAGACTTGCCCTTTGTAGAATGGCTTGAAATGACTGGAATGTCTCTTGCTTTTAGGTTTTCTCATCAAAAGGGTGGGTCCTGCACTATAAGGTAGATGCAAAATATGTACAATGCATGAAAAAGCTATCTTTAATTTATTAAAAGCCCCTAAAATTGGACTAATCTAAATGGTAAAAGATGTAAATAGATATGCATGAAATGCACACATCATTTATGGCAAATTTTTCTTGGTTGATACTTTTGATTTTATTGCTTGATGGTAAATTTTTTTGGGTTTTTCTTGTTTTGTTAAATTGGGATTTGATCGGTGGAGGTGGCGGTAAGAATTGAGGGGATGAGATGAAAAGGTGCAGAGAAGAAGTTTTTGGTAGGATGCGAGGAAAAAAAATAGAGAATAAAGTAAGGGTGGACATTTGGGCAGTTAACGAACTGTAAATCGGATAATCGAAATTTTATATTTTTGGTATTTATTCAATCCAAACCGTTCTTAAATAGAAACCGAACTACAATTTTCGGTTCGATTTGATTTATTTGGATATCCAAACTTTTTTTTATTTCATATTAAGTTTTAAATGTTGGCCAACATCTAAAAATTTAAGTTAAAATTAAAGGGCATAGTTGGTGCAAAACGATAACGTATCCAAAATTCGATTTGGTTTGGTTATCAAACTTCTTTTCTCCAAAATTGAATCCAATGAAAAACTCAAAATTTCTTCAAATTAAAAACTGTATTCGAACCAAACAATTGAAAAATCGAATAAAATAACCAAACTATATTGGTTTAGTGGGATCGTTAAATAATGAATTATAGTGATTTAAATTTGATAAATGGAATGGGTATGAAAACCAAAAGGCTATGTTTGGTTTGATGTAATGGAATGTAATTTAATAAAAAATGTAATGCAATGAAAAATGTAATATAATGGAATGTAATTAAGATTCTATTACTATATTTGGTAATTTAATTGAGAAAAATTATATTATGTAATCGACATTTTATTTTTATATTTGTTTGTAAATATATAATATAATTAACACACCACCATCAATCACACTACCACCATCACTCCACCTCTACCACCACAACTGCCACTCTACCATCACCACCACAACCATCACTCCACTACCACATTATTATTAATAAAAAAACATTTGAAAAAAAGTATTCATTATATCAAGCTATTAAAGACTATTTAGACTTATAAATTATTTGGTCTAGAAAATAAAAAAAAAAAGTCGAAAAAAAATGTAACGTAACAAAATAAAGGTTAAAATCATTGAAAATTATTTTTTACTCAATTTTATATATTTTCGTTGAATAAATAAAATTGTAATATAAAATTATGGTATTTTGGTCTTTTTAGTGACTTTTCGTTCCATTCTTTCCATTCCTATAACAATACAAAAGCATAATTAATAACGATATGATGGTGGTGGCAGCGGCGATGATGGTGGTTGCAGTAGTGGTGGCTGTAGTAGTGGTGGCGGTGGACTGGTAGTAGTGGTGGCGACAGTGGAGTGGTGGTTGCGCGGGTGTTGGTGGAATGGTGATTATGGTGGTGGTGGTGGTAATTGTGATGGGAGAGTGTTGGTTGAGAATGAGTATTGGCTTTGAGGAATATAATAGGTTATTGCTTAATTTATCTAAATTTGATGAATTGATGAATCTAAGGTTTTATTTATAAATTGAGAATAATTTAGAAGTTCATAAATTGAGAAAAATTTAAAAGTTGTTTGGAAATTATGTTAAATGATATATTAATATTTAATTACATGATTCTAATTGAGGAAAATATAAATTTTTGTTTGGATTCCTTTTAAGACCAAATTCGTCATATTAAACCACTTTAGGACATTTTGATTTTCCCACAATATTTTCAAAGGGTTTAAATATTAAATGAGATAAATTGATGATGAATTTAGATATAGCTTAATCAATTGGAATTTTGAGTTGATTGGTTAGATATGCCTCTCTATGTACATAATATTGTAAAATTAAGATTTAATTTAATTGTATGTGTCACTTATGAGACCTGTAAGAATCATGACTTAATGAGATTTTGCTATGGTTAAAGGTAATTGATTTTTTCTTTGGTATTTTTTAATTAATTAGGTTACCTAATTTTTATACTAAAATAATTAAATGAAATCAAAATGTAAAAAGAGCAGTTATAAGGATTTGCACATCATTATGACCAAATGTACATATTATATATAAATGAATATATGAACTCATAATTATAGTTTTGGCAAGTGGGAGTTAGAGTAGAATAAGGAATATGACATTAGCAGTACTACGTCACATGAAAATTACAGTTGATATTTGGCACTTGGTGCGCTACAATTTCCGACTGACCAACCATATAATTAAAGTTAAGGTTTTTGAGCTCACAAATTTTTGGCACTCTGAGTCTTAATAATTATAGTTTCTTTACACAACTTTCGATCCTACTAGAGTTTATAAAAGTGTAATAAAGTAGTTCAATAACAAAAGAGTTTATAATTTGTTTAATTATGCATTTATTTGTCTTATATATATATATGTATCGGACATGAGTATCTTGCGCTTCGCGTATATGCGTGATATTTATATTTTTATTTGAATTATAAAACAGTTGTAATGAGAAAATATAAATAAATAATATAATTAATAATAGCCATCATTTTTAAAACAAACATAATAACTATAAAAGAAACTATTTTAATAATTAATAATCTAACACCGTATATTTCTAGTAATGTTTTGAGCTCACAAATATTTTTTGGCACTCTTGAAGTTTCTTAATTAATTTATAAGTTTCTATTACCACAACTTTCGATCCTACTAGAGTTTATCACACACACGTAATAAAAGTAGTTCAATAACCAAAAAGTTTCATATAATTTGTTTAAATTCACTGCTATTTATTGTCTTACTACCTATAATA